CCTCCTCCCAATGCTCCACTCACAATTGACCATATAGGAGATAAAAAAATGAGAGAACCCTAAATGGTGTAGTACCAACTAAACGGTTTTATTGCCACAATAGAGTAAATGTAAATATGTAATAAAGCCCAAAGATCTCCTACCCTGCTCTGTCCGTAAACACTTACCTGGCTTGTTACCACTACAGCATTGTCCCTGGATCCAGCACAGCTCCCCTCATTTCCTGCTTTCAGGCTAGGTTCACACCTATGCAGTCTGCGTTTGATCCTTTTTTGCAGTGAGCTTTGCGTTTTTGATGCGTTTTGCTTTTTTTTTTCTTGCACAGACACATAAAAAATGCACTACGTGCTTTTCTGCAGTGTTTCCATTGAAGTCTATAGAACCAAAAATGCAACTTTTTGAGTTTAAAAAAATTCCCTGACCCTTTCCAAAAAACGCAATGGGTGAAAATGCCGAGCTGTGAACGTGTCCCATGTGAAATCATATCAAGTGGACTGTAGGGCGTTTCTGCAGAAAACGCGTAGGTGTGACCCTAGTGTCACAGGAGAAACTGAAGACAGCAGAGGCATAGGCTTGAGACCCAATGGGATCACCCACATTCGATGCCTCCTTAGCACCTGGCTTGCTACAGGAGGCACCCAATGGGAGAAGATGACTAGAGGAATAGAAAAGCAATCTTTCTGTGCAATATCGTAAAGAGCAGGTAAGTATAACCTCTCTTTTTATTTCAAAATAAAAATATTTTAGCTTTAATATTATGTTCAGTAAATAGCAGGGTGTTCTTATTGAATTTTATAGTAGTTTGTAATTGTGGTTGTGTTCCAGGTGATAAAAAGATGGAAAGGAAGATGGGGGCTAAGTAGGCATTATATTAGACCAGGGGTGGCGAACAAGTTAGACACAAAGAGCCAAAATTTTAAACTGTGAAAGTCAGAGAGCCACAATATGCAGTGACCTGCCAAAACAGACAAACACTCGCACAAAAACACATAATTAAAACCATATTATTCACCATAACACATATTATCGTATTTTTCGCTCCATAAGACGCACCTGACCATAAGACGCACCTAGGTTTTAGAGGCAGAAAACCGGAAAAAAAAATTCTGAACTAATGGACTGCAGACACAGTACAGGAGATGACCAGAGACTGCGGACAGCACAGGGATGACCAGAGACTGCGGACAGCACAGGGATGACCAGAGACTGCGGACAGTACAGATGACTGCCGACCTTTGGGGAGGTGGGGAGCGGGTACCTGAATTTGACAGGTACCCGCTCTTACTTCCGCAGAGTTTTTGTTTGATCTTACCTGTTCCTCGATCCAGCCGCGCGCTGTCTTCCCGGCTTCTGTAATGGCGCTCGGCATGACAGCCGGGGTGCCCAGTGCGCATGAGCGAGAAGCACTTGCGCTTTGTGATTGGTCCGGCGGCTTCTGGGATCTGTCATGTGTCCCAGGTACCGCCTTACCATTCACAAAAAGCACCGCTTCTTGCGCATGCGCACTTGGCACCCGGCTGTCATGCCCAGTGCCCACACTACAGAAGCCGGAAGACAGCGCGCCGCTGGATAGAGGAACAGGTAAGATCAAAGAACAAAGAAGTAAGAGCGGGTACCTGTCAAATTCAGGTACCCGCTCCCCACCTCCCCAAAGAAAGATGAAACTTGGCAAAGAGCCACAGTATACAAAATATGATAAGAGGCAAAGAGCCGCATTCATTTTGGCCGGGAGCCACACGCGGATCGAGAGCCACGTGTTCACCACCCCTGTATTAGACCTATATCTACTCCAGTGGATATTTTTTAATAAAAATAAACCTGCCGCAAAAAGTCATTTTTTACAGTTTATTTAATACATTCTATTTACTTTTTAAATGTAAAGTGCACCACTGATATATCCATATGCAGACTCACTGTAATCACACAGAACACAAGGCATAGATAACACCTCTACTGAGTCGATATTTAGATACTGGATAGGTGAATTGAAATATTGGGTTGAAGAAAGACCACATCTCTGTGTGTATGTGCTTTCTATGCAAACTTTTCCACCGCTCCCTACATAACCTTGAAGTACAGTAGGAGTGTTGACCATCTGGATTGTACTGAACTGACCATTAAAGGAGTAGGCCTGCCTCTCCATGCAGTACATAGGCTTGTCTGCTTTATTGCCTGCTGCAGTAGAATCTACAGGGTTAACTTTAACATCATCATTAGTGTCTGAACCAAGTCATATTTCCTCATTCTCTACTCCACTTTAATACACATTATTACATTTCCCTGTCATTTCCACAAACTCCACAGCCAGTCGCAAATTTTAATAGCACCCCCCCTCTCCCAGGCATGACATGTTCTCTGCGATTTGGGGGGAGTCTGTCATATAGATAAATCAGAGAAGATAAAAATAAGTTTTCTCCTGTCTTGCTGCAAGCAATGCCTTTATCGGTCTTAACAAGACGGGCAATTTACGCAAAAAACACAGCAATTCCCAATTTCCTTAAACCAGCCGCCTGAGTGGTGGGTCCATTTATGAAAGGGTATCTGGACATTCAGCTGTAATTGTTCTAATCAAAATGTCAAAATGTAGTCCAAAGCCTGCATCACGAACACTTATTAGGCATACACGCAAAATGCCTAAAGTCTCTCTGCTCTCCTCCAAATTGTTGCTTATTTAAGTCAGAATTTATGAGGCTTTCTTGTTGAGGTTTAGGTCATCACGTTCAGATATATCAAAGGAAATGTAAGCCAGACTATTTGTGACTTGAATTTGTCCGGCAGCCTGCCTAAATGTGGGGAGCTAGTGAACAGCCTACAAGCAAATAAACCATAAAGTCTAGCAAGAGGGTCGTTTTTTTCCTCCTTTCCCAAGTTGGAGGGTTAATTAACTCATCAGCTTCCACCACTTGTACGGTTGGGCTTTATAGTATGAGAGTGCTGATATGGGGAACGCAAAAGTGTCCCAGCATCAAAGTATGTTGTATACGTAGGAGAGTATCCATCAAATTGCTTCCAGTTTTTTGGTGTCTGTAGTTCCTATTGAAATGTTTGAAGGAATTAAAAAGGGTCATAAAAACTCTTAGCCAAACCAGACTTTTATTTTCTGCTCCCTAAGAAGGTCCTAAGGCTTTGTGGATAATATGTTTGTATTAAGCTCGCCATAGACCAGTAGAATTTTATGTGAAAATGTTCATTTTTCTCATTCTTCTTTTTCAATATTTTCATTTTTGTGTGTGTAAAGTGGTTTGTGCACATAGAATTTATAAATTAAGGGACTTGTAGTTCTAAAGCGGGGGATCAGAGGACTGTGAAGAGAGTAAGGAGTGCGCATTCAGGGAGACAATGCCTAGGGACAAGGGCTGTGATTTGCAAGTAAAAGTGTTCCATGATAACAGAAACACATTCCGCTCCAGGCCGGTCTACGCTTGCCTGCAATATAACTGGATGCATATTTAATGTTGCAGGACTTTTTAATGGAAACATTTATTATTTTGAGCTGAATTAGTTAATACTGATTTCTGATTTTCCCAAAAAAACAAGGAATTCAATAATGCTGCGCCACTTTTCTGGTGTTAATCCCTCTTGTTATTGTATTGCGTCAAATTCATGAAGCAGTTGCAACACTTTTGGTTCTGCCAGCAACTTCATGCAGTTCTAAAATGTGCCACTTTTACATTGTGTCGCAATGAATGTGCCATTTCTACATTATGTCGTACTGAATGGGCCAAATTCAAAAGTGGAGTGAATTAAGGCCAACTCTTTTTTGGTGTACAGAGAGAAAACTGACTCTGGTTCATATTTATGCGGTACAGCACATCGCATGTGATTCACATAGGAACCGCACCACATTCTTGTGCAAATCACATGCGATTTCTGTGCGGTGCATATTGAGCTATACATTTTGTATGGCTCAAATCGCACCGCATCCACACCAAAATACTGCAGGACCCTTTTTTTTTTTTTTTGATCGTCAGCAGAATCAGATTGCATGGGTGATCACACCCATGCGATCTGATTCTGCACAAACAACATGTTTTGCGAACCGATTTTGGGGTGTTTGTTAACTTAAAATACACACCCGCAGTGGTTTGCATGAATGGGGTACAATTACAATTTGCGGTGCGAAAATCGCACAGAAACCGGTGCAAGTTTCGCAACACATCAGTGTGAACCAATGCGCCAGGCAGATTTTGCGAAAGTGTCATAATTACATAAGTACATTCTAAAAGAGGCACAGCTTGAACCAAATTAATGTACAATTTTTAGACATGTATATAAATTTGATGGATTCTGCACCACTTTTAGAATGCATGAGAGACACTTTTGCAAAATCTGTCTGCTCCAGTCTTTATGAATTCCAGGGAGTCTTTAGTACTACTTTAAAGTCTGGCTAAACCCTCATCAGTGAAGCTTTCTAATTCTTGCCTGTGCACATCAATATGTGATGTGGTAGGCAGTGTAGAGGCTGTCCAACCATGTGATGATTCTGTCCATATGTCCACAAGTAGCCTTCTTCGGGAGCACACATAGAAAATTAACTACTTGCCCTACTGAGGATTTACCCCCCCCTTCCTGACCTGCCTTTTTTTGCATTACGGCACTGCGTTATTGGAACTGACAATTGCGCGGTCATGCAATGCTGCACCAAAATGAAATTTACATCATTTTTTTCCCCCCAATAATTGAGCTTTCTTTCGGTGGTATTTGATCGCCTATGCAGTTTTTATTTTTTGCGCTATAAAAAAAAAAAAACACAATAATTTTGAGAAAAAAAACTATTTTTGACTTTTTGCTATTAAACGTGCAATAAAAAAAATTTTAAAAATCAAATTTCGCATAAATTTACGACAAAATGTATTCTGCGACATGTCTTTGCTAAAAAAATAAATCCCAATATGTGTAAATTAATTGGTTTACGTGAAAGTTATACAAATGTGTTTACAAATGGTGGTATATTTAAAAAAAAAAATTTATTTTTACTAGTAATGGCGGCAATCAGAGACTTCTAGTGGGACTGCGGCGGACATTCTGACACTGGGGGGAACTGACATCATGTCACTGACATGCCCAGTGACACCAATACAGTGATCAGTGCTAAAAAAAAGCACTGTACTAATGGCACTGGGCAGGAAGGGGTTAACATGAGGGTCGATCAAAGGGTTAACTGTGTGCAGGGAATGTTTTACTATGGGGCGGTGTCTGTGTGCTTCACTGTAATCACACAGCACAGCCATCTAAAACAGTGTGCCGGAGCTGACAGGGAGGAGAACTGTTAGTAAACAAAACAGTTCTCCCGGTCAGAGATCTTTAGAAATCACCTGGCGCCAGCTAGTAATTACCGGCCGGGACCTGGTGATTGACAGCCTTGCCAGCGAATGGCGGCACAGGTAGGGCACGCACGTGCACACCCCCTACCTAGAAATGCAAAATCACACACACATATATATGTGTGTGTGATTTTGCGCATTCGTGCCGTCCGTCTGGCAGCAGTATTTTCTGCTATAGGGCAGTCGGGAAGCGGTTAACAACGCTGCCACTCCATAGTGCATGCAAAGGCAGCATTGTCACTGTATTTGTTTCAAGAGAACTTTGACTAATGATTTTAGTTACTGCAGCAGAAAAAAGAAAGAGAATAGCAATAAACACTTAGGAGAATTAGGAGAAAAATAAGACATTTCTTTTAAGCATAGTGGCTCAGATACATTTTAAAGCTGAATTCCATATTTTCTTTATGATCTTTATTTATGAACCTATCTTTACTATTGCTCATAATACTTGAAGAACATTCAGCCAGAAGAGAAAATACCCTCAGAGCCTTTGATTTTACCCCATTCTCACATGAGCTGGTTAGTTCACACTGAACAAGTGCAAATATAGTTTCACTGGACTGTGATTTGTTTTATAAATTCATTTCCTTTGCAGCATGAGCAGACTTGCACCATGAGAATGAGCGGTAAAGCAGAACCATTTTATTGAAGTTACGGGGCTCAAGTCCTTGTTTTTTTCTATTTTGTCTTTCTGCATTGGGAATAGCAGTTGATTCATAAAACCTATTCTCTCTTGTAATGAATTATAAGGCCAATGTTTGTGGGCACCTAAGCATCACACTTATATAAGCTTGTTGGACATATTTCAAATCCATATCAGTCCTTATATCAGCCTCCACCCTTCTAGTGTTATTGCCAGAAAGGCAGGGAGGGGACTCTATATTAATGCCCATAGATTTAGAATGTCCAAAAATTCGTAAACTGTAGGTGTGTGGTCAGGTGTCCCCAAACATTTTGGCCATGTAGACAATCAGGGGAGCGCACAGAAGAGGCTTTGGGTATCTTGTGGTTTGTTCCTATGTAGGACTTTTACCTTTAAAGAGTTTAAAACCATTCTTATAAAGGGGGGGAGGGGGGGGTCTATTCAAAATTTCTCATTTGGCAACATCCCCAACTCATAATCTTTTGTTATATGATCCATTCAACAGCTGTGGACTGCTTCATACCAACTGCCAATCTTAGGCTGTAAAGAGAGCCAACACAGTTCCTGCTGCTGAAATCTAGATATTCCCCACCTTTTCTTGCTGAAAGTGGAAACGCCCTTTAATTAGTTTCCTTAAAACTAAAAGACTAGGTTAGTTATTTTCTACATGTTCTTGGATACTCACTTCATACAGAAGGCAGCCCAAGGACCAAATATCTGACTTGAAATTGTAGCCATTTTCATGTATTCTTTCTGGGGACATGTAATAAGGTGTTCCCACTGCAATACAGAAAAGATCATTAAATACACAATGTTGTATGCTATTGTATAAAGCTGTGCTGTGTAAAGTTTCTAACATCATTTCACCATACGTTTTTTCCAACAATATACATGCCCTTTAAATAGCCAAAGAAGGGCAGTCATATAATCCATTTTAGAGATTACTGAAGGCAGCATTGTTACAGATCGGGTTTATTGTGTATAAAAGAATAAAAAAAAGCATTATCGAAAAAGAAGGGGTATGAAGCTGGTGCTGTAGCTTGCGTAAAAATAAACGTGCTATTCTCACACAGAGAACAATGCTTTGAAGTTCTAACTTGTATTAGATCTTATGCTCAGTGGACTGAAAATCTTGTTAAAAATTCAGAGAGCTCACGAAGTTCCGAAAACGATAGAAGTAAATAATGTTACCTTTATATCAAGGTAAGCAGTGCTTCTTATCAACATAACAAGTGAGGTTAACACTACAGATAGGAGGAAATTCATTTTTTTTTCACCTAAATAAATGCTTAAAGCTCAGGTTAACCTTTCATACATATAACAAATTTCTTGTGTGCTCTTTATTTTGTCGGTTACATTATCTATCTCTTCTTACCATGACTGCTAACTTTTTCCTGTCATTTTGGCAACTCATACTTTTTCCCTCTATAATTGCCTTGGGTAATCTTTACTAAAAATGCCCGTATGCATACAGACTAGAACACTCAAAGGGCTCATAGCCACATTCTCTGCCACAGATGCACAACCCCATAAGTGGAAGCCGCCTGAAGTAGCTGATGTTCACATGCGCAGTAGGATACAGGGATGCGTTTCTAAGCTGCAAGTTTCTTCCTCCGAGGCTACGTCAAAGGCTGAGGAAGCAGCTTCAAGTTTGGAAACATGTCATTGTATCCTGCCTTTACACTCATATTAACTTTAATGGCATCCCAGTCTTAGGGTTCAGTATTGAGTTGGCCCGCCCTTTGCAGCTATAACTGCTTCAACTCTTCTGGGAAAGCTGTTCACAAGGTTTAGGAGTGTGTCTATGGGAATGTTTGGCCATTCTTCCAGAAGCGCATTTGTGAGGTCAGTCACTGTGTCGAACAAGAAGACCTGGCTCACAGTCTCTGCTCTAATTCATCCCAAAGGTGTTCTATCGAGTTGAGGTCAGGACTCTGTGCAGGCCAGTCAAGTTCCTCCACCCCAAGCTCTCTCATTCATGTCTTTTATGGACCTTACTTTGTGAACTGGTGGGCAGTCATGTTGGAACAGGAAGGGGCCATCCCCAAACTGTTCCCACAAAGTTTGGAGTATGAAATTGTCCAAAATGTCTTGGTATGCTGACGCCTTAGGAGTCTCCTTCACTGGAACTAAGGGGCCAAGCCCAACCCCTGAAAAACAACCCCACACCATAATCCCCCCTCCACCAAACTTTACACTTGGCACAGTGGAGTCAGGCAAGTACTGTTCTCCTGGCAACTGCCAAACCCAGACATGTCCATAGGATTGCCAGACAGAGAAGTGTGATTCTTCACTCCAGAGAACACATCTCCACTGCTCTAGAGTCCAGTGGTGACGTGCTTTACACCACTGCATCCGATGCTTTGCATTGCACTTGGTGATGTAAAGCTTGGATTAAGCTGCTCAGCCATGGAAACCCATTCCATGAAGCTCTCTACACATTGTTGTGCTAATCTGAAGGCCACATGAAGTTTGGAGGTCTTTAGCAGACAGTTAGCGACTTCTCTGCGCTGTGCGCTTCAGCATGCGCTGACAATGCTCTGTCATTTTACTTGGCCTACCACTTCATGGCTGAGTTTGCTGTTGTTTCAAGTTGCTTCCACTTTGTTATAATACCACTAACAGTTGACCGTGGAATATTTAGTAAAAGGGAAATTTCGTGGATGGACTTATTGCACAGGTGGCACCATGGTTAAATTCATTGAGCTCCTGAGAGCGACCCATTATTTCACAAATGTTTGTAGAAGCAGTCTGCATGCCTAGGTTCTTAATTTTATACATCTCTGGCCATGGAGGTGATTGGAACCCCTGAATCCAATGAGTTGGAGGGGTATCCCAATACTTTTGGCAATATAGTGTATGTAGTTTAGCACCTTCTAGTTTGTGTAATAGTGTAGAGTATTATAGGCAAAATCATTGTGTTTGGCTCATGGTAGTTTGTGTGAGTCACGTAATTGAGATCGGGTTATTGCAGGTCAGCTGGATGATTCAACAGGTTGTGGCTCTACCGCCTCCTCCTGACTCTGGAGGACCATAGAACCTTCCGGATGTCGGTAAGAAGGAAGGGGTGGATGCCTAATCTGCATATTCATGGGGGATCCAGCCAATCCAAGGTTTGGAGGCCCTGGTAGAGAGGTGGACTGGCCTATAAATATGGGAGAGTCAGGCTGACAGAGGAGTCAGGTGGAAGATGGAGTGCTGAGGAGACTGTTGATGCCTAGGATGGATCCCCTAGGTCTGGGAGGGCCAGCCTCTAGGTTGGGTTCAAGCTGGCTTACGAGGATACATTTTGCAGAGAGGTGTAGATGGGATCAAGGCCTGGAGCAATAGAGAGCAAAAAGGACAGTGTGAATACAGCTTTCTAAGGACAGCATTGAGCTCAATCCTTTTATTCTTGTCCCGGTAGATCTTCCGAGAAGCCAGGAGGGCTGGTAGTGCTTGCAGGCCATGGAGCTGATAGCAGCTCTGTAGGGGGAGAAAAGACATCTCTGCATGTAGCTACAAGAAGTAAAGTGATTTTTGAGGGGCTGCTAGTTCCTTCCCTGCAACGACTGACTGCTTTCCAGAAAATAACAGTCCAGGATCTGCTTTTGTACATGGGAGGGAAGTGTCTCCCTTCCATTGTTTTCAAGCCAAATTGGGCATTCCCCTAATAAAAAAAAAAAAAACAACAAAATCAAGCCCATGGACTGGTCATTGTCTTTGGGTGCAAGTTGGTGATAGAAATACCTGTTGCCTGGCTGTGTGGAGAGAGGCTTAGGGATACCCATAACACAGCAGCCCTCACAAGGGTAGCGCTACAGTAGCATATGACTGATATTGTTTTATTTCGTCATCAATATTATTATTATGTTTGAAAATTTATTTTTATCTATTTTATTTTTTTTTGGTTAGGTCAATGCCACTAGTTGCATTAAGAGCAGGGTAAATTAGACTGGTGTTGTGCTCTGTGTTTTTTTTGGGTCCTCCACACCCCAATTAATTTGGTTATTACCCCAACACCTGCTAGTGCATAAAGTGGGGTGCCATGCATTTTTAATGAACCCCAATGTATCTCTGGAGTTCAGCTGCTTTAAAGTGCACAACTGAGATTTTTCTGTTGGGTTACTGTAGGGCAGCCTTAATCCCATTTTCTTGCAGTTGATTAATCTATCATTTTATGTCTTAGATTGCTCTGCGATTTCAAAATAAAACTGATCACTTGATTTCTCCTCCAAATTCCCACGTGTATTGCCAGCCTAATAGTAAATGGTAATTCTTAAAA